GATTTCTTCCCAGCACTTCCCAGAACATCAGAGGCTGGCATTGCAGGAACCTTTCTGGAGACCCTGCTCCTGGGTTTGGGGGTGTCTGCCTGTTACAGGCCCCAGGTAGGCTCTACTGTGGAGGAGAGAGGGCCAGAACCATCCTGGCTTCTCTTCTTCCCAGAGGGCTCTTCTTCAACCACTTCCTACCCCAGGGCTGTGGCAGAACCTGCCTCCTCCCCAACTGGAGGCAGCAGAGTCAAATGAGGTGGCCACCAGCCAGTCGGGGGCCTGGACTCACCAGCGTTCTGCCCTGAGTGCCCTACACTGTCACAGCCCTCAAATTAGCTCTGACCACCAAAATACAGGACCTTGCCTTTCCCTGACCCAGTTGGGCTTTCATACTTTTGTTCTCTGTCCATGTACATGGGCCTGTGACTGTCTCCTGACACTCCTTCCTCACTTCTGAGAGCCCCCAGCCAGCCAGGCCCAGCAGGGCTGTCACAGGTGGGCCCCAGGCAGGAGCTCTGGACTCATCTGCGGCTTGCACCAGGGCCTCAGATGAGGCTACGGCCTTTCCTGCCCGGCTCACCTCTAACATCCGTGCCCACTTGGCCCCAGAACATGGGGAGAGGGTGTGGGCTGTGTCTTCAGAATGGACTCATGACAGCCCCTCTCCGCACCCTACTCCTAGCTGCTGGTTCTACCCCTGAGACCCTACCCCAGCTGGAAGATGGGGAAGCATGGATGATTCAGTGGTCCCCTGGTCTGGGTCTGCTGGGAAGGCACCCTGTCTCTGTGTGGGCTTTGGGGAGCTACATTGTCTCTGGGAAGAAGGCAGGCCAGGACCACCGGGGCCTGGACAGGGACCTCATGCACATGCAGTCCCTGCCACTCCTCACTGCAGTCCCAAGCATGTCAGCGAGGGCAGGGCAGTGACAGGAGGGCACAGCTGCCCCATCCCTCCCCTCCTCCCCCCAAGCCCACAGCAGCTGGAGAAGGTGGGGCCGACAGCTGGGGCCATTCCTGACGTGCCATCCAGGAAAGGCCAGATTCCAGCCTAGGGGAGGCCACAGGAGGCTGTGGGTGTCCAGGCCAGGGACTTCTTACCCCCTCCCAAGCAAGCCCCACCCATGCTCCCACCAGGCATGTTCCCAGAATCTTGAAATGTCTTTTCCCTGAAAATGGGCAGAGGGCTATTGTGAGGCCAGCCTAGACCCCTTCCCCAAGCTTGACGATGCTGTGAGGTTCCTGCAGGATGGGAAGCCCTCACTCCCCTCTAGGCAGGCAGGGTACGCTGTGAGCAAGGAGCAGGTCAGTCAGTGTGCAGCCAAGCTCTGCCACCTGCTTTGACAGCAGGTCATTGGAGCCCCAGAGTAGCCTCTAGCTCTGTTCATGCTGCGGCAAGGCAGTGTGACCTCTGTGCCAAAATGGAAGACCTGGTCTCCTCAATGTCCATCCCACTGCCCTGGAGACCACACCTGTGCCCAGGCTCAGGACCTGGCCTCTCACTAGCAAAGTGGGTGTGGCTGTGAAGGGTACAGGGTACAGATCTTCACCACTCAGCATGTCTTTGGGGCTGGTGCCGGGGCTGGGAGCAGATTCCACCGAAGGGTGTTCAGTCCCGGGAGCTGGGCTTCCAGACAGTTCTCAGAGTTCGTGGTCAAGGGTGGGGTCAAGGATGAGCTTGGAGGTTTCCTTGGACATCCACTTTGGGGAACTGGATCCGTGGTCTGGCTTGGCTTGGAAGGACAGAGAAGAGTGGATGGGTGTGCCAGGGTGCATGTCCAGAAGTCGACCCTCCAGGTGCTCTTGGGCTACAGCTCAGTGTGGGGGGTCTGCCCTGCCAATGGGGCATTGCCCCTGGCACCACGTGTCCCAGTCTCCCCAAGATGGTTCCCAGGCCTTTGCTCCCAATGCCACGTCTTCTGGGAAAGAGGAGGGCTGGGAAGACAGAGCCAGCCCCACAAGTGCCCCTGAGCTCCGGAGGTCAGCTGTGGCCTGCTTGCCCAGCTTCCCCACACCCACTGCAGCCTCTGATCTGGGAAAAGGGGCCCTGCCAAGGCTCTGTGGCTTTTGCTGGCCCCGTGAACTTGGGCTGTGGACAGGCCAGGGACCCAAGACTCCCAGGGCCCGCCTTGACCATGCCGGCCTAGGGCCAATCAAGTGGGCAGCCTGCCAGACAACTGGCAGAGGGGACAAGAGAGATGGTAGAAGCTTCTGCCCCGTGGGGGTGGCCTGTTTTCCCTCAACCACATGGGGTTCACAGAGCATGAGGTCCCCCGCCTGCTACCCAGGCATAACCTGGGGCAGGGGTGGCTCTGTGTGTCTCTGGGTTTCTGGTTTCCTTCTGAGCTGGGTGGTTCAGAGCCTGGTTCAAGACCTGGCTCAGGGGGGCAGACCCTGTGCAAAGCTTGGCTCAGCCTCGCCAAACCTCTTTTTGGAGCTGTGAGGCAATGTTCCCAGGGGCTATCAGGGGTCCCTGGGGGCAGAGAGAGAGAGGTAGGCCCATGCCCAGGCCCAGCACAGCCTGGTCGCAGCCTGTGTGCTGGAAGCAGACCCTTTGCTGCAGGCCCCGTGTGGGGCAGGCAGGTTTCCACTTGGCCGGGAACTTCCCTGGCCTGAAAGGCCTCGTACTCTGCTGGCTCAGAGTCCAGTGCTGCCATCTGTCACTGGTAGGGTACAGGCCTGAGGGCATGAGGGCCTGGGGTCCCCGCTCTTTCCTCTCCCTGTCACTATCTATAAAAGCGTCAATGGCTCTGCACACCCAGGCTCTAGGCCCTCCCTGCTGGCCAGGGGCCGAGAGCCACCAAGGGAGGCCAGTTCTAGTTTCAAGTCACCAGCTCTTGTCACTGTGCCAGACTCATGCATGCAGACCTGCTGTGTGTGGGCCTGGGGACAGGGTACAGTGAGAACCTGACTAAGTCCTGAAACCCTATTTCGGGGTGGGGGGGCACCACGTCAATGGGCCCTGGATCTTGGACATCCACAGGTGTAAGGAGCCAGCAGTGGAGGACAGAAGCAGAAAGGTGTAAGCCTGACAGGCCTGCTGGCTATGCTGGCCTCTCCCTCACCTCACCAGTCACTACTGTTTCCTCCTGAGGCCACCAGCCCATGTCCCAGCCCTTCCCTGCCCTTCACTCTTGGCCAAAAAGGAGAGGTGCAGGGTAGAAGCCAGAGGTACCAGGCAGCCCAGAGGGGGTGAGGCTGTTGGCCCTGGAAGTAGAGGTGACAGGGAGCCATAGCCGGAGGGATCCCCAAGTCTGTGGTCCCCCAGGGAGGGGTAGCGTTGGCCTGGCCTAGCCTTGCCCACTAGTCCATATTCCCTCATCTGCTAAATATATCCTGCGGTCTATTTCTCAGCCCCCATTCCTGCCTGGGGCCCATGTCACCTTGTGCAGAGGGGATCTGGGGGTGCTGATGTCCCAGATGGTGTGTCCAACCCCACTCCACATTCCCTCCTCTGCTAAATGCACCAGGTGGGGTTGAGGAGGCACCAGAGCTAAGAGTTCTCATGGTGCCTGGGGCTGGCACACAGGATGCCCCCCCCCCAGACCCCAGAGCTCCTGCTGGCCCGAGGACAGAGCTCGGGGACTAGGCTTCCATCTATACAGAAAGGGTGGCTGAGTGCTTGGTGCTTTAGTGCTCAGGGCCTGCTCTGCCCTCCTGGGCCTGAGACCCTGTGAGCACCCCTCCCCAGGCCAGCACCCCAGCCTGAAGTGGGGCAGTAGTCTCAGAGACAGGGCCTGGGTGAAGGCAACAGGTGTCTGTGCTCTCCCTCCCTAAGGACCTTCTCCTAGTCTGTGTCAGGCCCTGAGCAGCCACCGCCACTCCACTCCAGCCACAGGATCCTGGAAACTGCCTGCCCCCAAACTCAGCATTTTCATCCAAAAGCCCTGTGCCCCAGCTGTGTCCCCACAGAGGGCCCCTCTGGCCTCCTGCCCCTACACCCTGTAGGTAGGGGTGGGGGAGGGCAAGTGGCCAGATGAGCACTAGGCTTCAGAGGTCTGTCCCCCGAGGCTGTCACTAGCCACACAGGGACTCACACCAACTAGAGAGATGTGAAATGGAGAAGTTAGGTCCTCAGTTTTGCCAGGCACATTTCCAGGGCCCAGTGGCCCTGTGTGGTTTGTGGGTCTTGAGCAGTGCACTCTAGAACATTCCAGCACCAGGAACATGCCAGTGGACACAGTGGAAACTTTGGGGGCAGGGAAGTTCACCTAGCAGGAGGACTGAGAGCCTGGGGACTTGTGGGGGCTCCTTGGCAGGGCAGAATAGCTGCCATGTAGGGAGTCACACTGCAGCAAACTGCCCAGCAGGCTCTGTGCACCCCAAGAACTGTGCCGGGCATTGGCCAGGATGCCTCTCCTGTGATGTGCCCCTGGCGTCTGTGCCTGGCAGTGGGGTCAGCACAAGGCTTTGGGCTTGGAGGCCTTTCAGGAACAACAGCACAGCCCACCAAGAAATGCTGACTTCTGAGCTCGGGTAGTCCTGGCTTAGGTGTGTCTTGAAAGTCTCCATAATTTTAATTTCTGGAAGGGACTGGCTACCTCTAAGTGTCCCTCCCAACCGAGGGGAAGGTGGGGGGTGTAGAGGAGGGAGGCCAGGTATGGAGACAGCGTGTCAGAGCCAGGGTGGTGCAGGAGATCCAGGTTCGTTTGGGATTGGCAGTGGTTCTGCCCTTGACTTGCTGGGTGGATCTCTTCTCTGGGCCTCAGTCCCCCATCTGAGGGGTGGAGGCTGAGAGGTGCTCCCCTTTACACTCCTTACTGGTCCAAGGTCCCTACCCCCAAGTGGGGGTGTATGGCCATCTTCCCTTCACACCCCGTACTCTGCTTGGCCTCACTTTGGGCAGTGGGACTACTGGGGGCTCACAGCACCCAGACCCTAGGTTGGGATAGAGAGACGAGTGTGCAAGGATCCCCAGGTTCCATAAGCTACAGTGTGGGTGGGAGGGCTGTACCACAGTTCTGGGAGAGTGGCCCAGGCTGTGGTGGGTAACTCCTGTACCCTATCCCTCTCACTGTGCCAGGGCTCATGCAAGAGTGGGGGTCTTGGACAGATGGGAGACCTGGAGGCTGCAAGGGACTGGCCCTAAAGTGGGCACCACCTGTCGCAACCCCTTGGGCCCCTGTGGCCCTGGTCTGGATCACCGCAGGAAGGAACCAGGCGTGAAGCAGATTAGAAGTACAAGCTTGTAGGAGGCAGGCTAGCCCTTCTTTGCAGGGTAGCCCTGAGCAACCTCCACACTAGCCCTTTATTGAGACCATACAACACAGGTGAGGGGAGTAATTAACAAATGACTACATGCTGAAGGCTCGGGCTCTTCTTCCACAAGGAACACCTGTGGATGAATGGCCCGAGGGTCCAGCCCCCAGCTGTAAATCATCTTGCTCAGAGGTCATCTGGCCACCCCCTGGTTCCTGCAGGCATCTGGAATCAGGACCCCACACCCTCCAGGGGCGGCTTGGCTGGCTGTGGTTGAGCTGTCCTGGGTGCCTGGGATGAGGCTGTGGCCCCCAGGCAGGAGCCCTCTGGCAACCCTTCCCCTCTCTGGGCCTCGCAAACAAAAGCAGGCTGGGCCAACCTTGCCCAAACCTCAAAAGGCCAGGTTGGGAAAAGCCCCTGACCCCACTACCAGACAGGAGCTGCCACCTCTGACAGAGCCATGGGAGGGAGCCCCCAGCACCCACTTTCTGCCCACTGTGCAGACCCCCACCTCACTCCCCAGTCCAGGGGCCTGCCTACCCGGCACACTGTGTCCAAAACTGCTGCCCTGATTCATTACTTGGCGCTGCCGCCTCCTCTCCCAGCTCTGAGGCAGAGCCACCCCCAGTGCTCCCTGACTCCCCCACCTGGTACCTCAGGGAAGGCAGAGGGCACAGAAGCCTTAGGCCACCCCCAGCCAACACTCATCTTGTGACAGCCTACCATGGGCCATGGGACCTGAGGTTTTGGGTAATAGTAGAAGGTACTAGTGGGGCAGCTACGTGGGGGCTTCGGGGCTCTAGCTCAGGGCTCTAGCAGAGACAGGCGCCCACACCCTGATGTAGCCTGGTGATCCATGTGTTGCTGACCCATGGTTCAGGGCAATAGCTTTGCCCTCAGGAGGTCCTGGAGTAGGCTGCAAGCAGGGCTCAGGAAGGCCACATGTGACTGTGCCTCTCTGTTACAGAGCTTCAGCCTATCTTTGGGCAGCCCCGAGCCAAGGAGGCTCAGCACCCTGGACCCCTGGCGCCGGGCACAGATGCGAGGCCGTGTGCGGAGAGCCTGGGTCATACCCCCAATCAGCGTGTCTGAGAACCACAAGAGCCTCCCCTACCCCCTGGTACAGGTGAGGGGACAAGGCTGGGTCACCGGGGGCCCTGTTCCTAGGTGGTCTCCTGGGAGTTGGGGGGAGTCCCACCTGCTGTCAGGGCCAGAGCCCAGGTTTCTCGTCTGGCTATGCACACGCTATGTGCCCTCTGAGCTGGAAGCCCTGTGGTGGTGACTTTTTCCTTCAGTTTTATTCTTCAGACACTGAGCAGGTGTTGGCAGATTGAGCCTGCAATAGGGCTTAGGCGGCAGGGACACCCTTGAGCCCCAAGCTGAACTGCCCACCCCAGCGTGGCCCCCCAGGGGGGCCCTCCTGCAGACCTCAGACCCTCAGTGCTGCCAGCTGGGGAAGGGCTGATCCCTCCACCCCGAGCACCTCCGCCAACCCCATCTCCTGCCACAGATCAAGTCTGACAAGCAGCAGGTGGGCAGTGTCATCTACAGCATCCAGGGACCTGGCGTGGACGAGGAACCTCGGGGTGTCTTCTCCATCGACAAGTTCACGGGGAAGGTGTTTCTCAACGCCACACTGGACCGTGAGAAGACGGACCGCTTCAGGGTGGGGGCCTGCCCAGTGGGGGTCTGGGGAGAAGCTGAGGCCCCTCCTCCCCCTGGGCTTTTGCCCCCAATGTGGTGTCCTTCAGGCCAAACCACTTTCTCCTGCAAGATCTGGGCAGCTCTCATGGGGAGTGGTGCCAGAGATGGGGGGGACCCAGCTGTTTGGGGTCCCAGTCCCCTTTAGCAGATGGGCAGATAGAGGCCAGGTGGAGGTGGGGTATCTGCAACAGGGTGGGAGGCTGGCTTCAGCCACCCCTGTCTCCATTTAGCCACACCCAGCTATCCATGCCCCTGGTTCTGTGTGATGGGGTGGGTGTCACAGTGCCCCAAAGCAGTACTGGTCCCAGCAGCAGCTGCTGCTCAAGGTGGGAGAGGTGGGCGAGGTGGGCTCCCCAGAGCACAACCTCTCCAAGTTCCCCCTGGAGCCACCTGCCACCTCCAGCCTGGACTCTCCAAAAAGCCATCTTGTGCCTGACCTGAGGTGTCCCGCCTTTGTCTTTTCACAAGGCACAGTGTCCCCTTGCATGGTCCCAGTCTTCCTTCAGACTTAGAGAACCAATTCTTGGTTCCCCAACATGGAAAGTCAGTAGAGTAGAGAGTATTTTTTACCTGGACGTTATATTTTGCTCATACTGTGCATGGGAGATTAGACTTAAACTTGAAGAGCAGCCAAAACCATACAGAGAAACCAGGGGCACCAGGATCCCTGGTGACAGCATTATTTTGCCTGCACAGGGAGCACAGCAGTGAGCTTCCTGGCAGCCAGGGTCAGAGGGGAAGTGTGGAGGTCACCCTGTCTGCTCAGAGAAAGCAACTCCCCCTGCTGTCTCTCATCTGTTCAGGTGACATTTCCAGCTGGACTCAAGTCAGCATTTGCTGGCCTTTTTCATGGCCCTCATGGTAGCCACCAAAATTTAGGGGCTACAATACAACCCTTGCTCTGTTTGACAGCTGAGAGCCTTTGCCCTGGACCTGGGGGGATCCACCCTGGAGGACCCCACAGACCTGGAGATCGTGGTTGTGGACCAGAATGACAACCGGCCAGCCTTCCAGCAGGAGGTGTTCACTGGCCGGGTGCTGGAGGGCACAGTGCCAGGTGAGGAGGAGCCGGCATCTAGTCAGGCTTCAGTGAGGGTCTCTGGGCATTGGAAGCCCAGGATTTGCCTTAAGCAGAAGTTCCAGAGGCCTGTCAAGGAGTGAAAATAGGTAAATAGAGTCTCCAAGCAGAGGCCAACCCAGGCCCCTTCCCATTTCAATATAAATTTCAAATCCAAAAATCTCAACCTCAGGGTAGGGTTTTTTAGGGGTCCTGCCCCTGCCTCCAAAGCAAATGACCTCTCCCTCCTGCTGGGGGGTATCCAGAGATGGGCAGGAGCCAGGGCACCAAGGGGCCCCTCCACTCGGCTTTGGTGGAGGCCTGTGGGAACCTGTTGGCTGCCCCACATGCAGGCTTTGAGAATTAGATCAAATCTCCCTTGTCCAGTGAGCTCGGGGGTCTCTTCTCTGGCTGGGAATTCACAGAAGGAGGCCATGTCCTCCTCAGCATGTGACAGCCAGAGACGGGAGTGCCAGGTGCCTCACCTGGCCAGGTGTTGTCTGCAGGCTCCCGTGTCTTGTGGAGGGTGATCTCAGACTGTTCAAATACCCTGTTAGGGCCCAAAACCTTGTCCTGTTTTAGGCTCCACTGATGCTTCTGATTATTATTAGTGGTTATTATTCCAATGGTTACAAAAAGGCACTTTTCGAATTCATCTTCCTCTTCCCCTTGCTACACAGTGGGACTTCCCTTCTCCCCAGTGTGAGTCCATGGGCAGCCCACGCATGCACAGCTGTGTGGGCTAGAGCCACCTCTCCCCACCGGCTGGCTGTCATTCTCACTGTCTGGACCTTTTTGCAGACACAGTTGAGAGTGTGCTGACATCTGTGTGTGGACATGCGTGTATGTGTGAAAAAGCCTGTTATATGTGCATGTGTGTGTGTACATGGCAGCATGTACCTCCACATATATGTGTGCACATGTGCACCCCTGAACTTTGATGTGTGTGCAGTGTACATGTGTGTGTGTGCATCCCTTGTATGTGTGTGTATGTGTGCATGCCTCATGTGTATGCATGTGCATGTCCTTATGTGCATGTGTGTGTGCATGCGTTGTGTGTGTGGGTGTGTACGTGTGCATGCCTTGTGTGTTGTATGCATGTGTGTGGACTCAGTCTGACATGTTCACATGTCTGCCTTCCTCACAACACATCTGTTCTTGGGCATTCCCACATCCAAGCCCACTCCATAGGGTCCTCCCCTGCCCACACCTGTAGCCCCTCTCTGACAGTGGGGAGCCTGGTATCTCACCTCTGCAAAAAGGAAGCCCTTGAAAGCTTTGGCCTGAGCTCCAGCACTGTGTCACAGTCACCCGCTTAGCAGCCCGTCTCCACACTAGCTCTTCACCCTTCTCCAGCGGGGCCGATGGCTGATGTTTACTTCTGTTTATTGAAAATGTGCATGGCACTCACGTTGCCCCTCAGTCCCTGGTGAGGTGAGGCCCCAAGAACAGACACGAAGGGACCCACTGGCCCAGAGCTGTCCCGCAGAGGACCCTGAAGACCACTGTCCCCGCCCCACTGTGTCTAATGTTCGTATACCACAGCAGGTCAGGCCTCAGTCTCATCAGAAGGAAAATGGGTGATAGGCAAGGCAGGACCCTCCCCTTGTATGTGCCCCCAACCCAGGGCTGCACCTACCAGGTGGCTATGTGCCATTCTCCACGTGTCAGACTCCTGGGGCTGGGGCTCTGCTGGGCCCTGCCTCGGGCAGAACAGGTGAAAGTCAAGTCTTCTGCTCCTGGCTGAACACCTCCAACAGCACGAGCCTGGCACAGGGCTTGACATTTAAGTTTGCACAGACCATACGGGTCACCTGTGGCTGCAGAGGGGATGTATGTGGACTGATGGTGTGGGGGTGTGGCAGCCCTAGTGAGCGAGACGAGAACTGCCTGCCCTTCACTGACTCAGAACCGGGAGGCTATGCACACAGAGAGCCCCAGCACACAGACACCCCCAGGAACAGTGGCCGACATGCCTCCCTGTCCCCCTAGGCACCTTCGTGACCAGGGCGGAGGCCACGGATGCTGACGACCCAGAGACAGACAATGCGGCCCTCCGGTACTCTCTCCTGGGGCAGGGCGGCCACGAGCTCTTCACCATCGACGAGCTCACAGGGGAGATTCGGACAGTGCAAGTGGGGCTGGATCGAGAGGTGAGGCGGCTGCACAGGACACCTGGGCTGAGAGATAGCCAGAGTAACCAAAGGCTGCAAAATGCAACAGGGGCCCTGGCTCAGCAAAGACTCCAGGGGCTGAACCCACCAAACAGTGGGTCAGTAAGTGGCCCACCCTCAGGACATGGGCCAAGTCAGAAAAGGAGGCCCTTGGGCCCTGCTGGCCAGGACAAGTCCTCTGCATATCCTCTGTCCTGCTGGCAGGGAAGTCCCAGCCCTACAGCCTACAAAGCAGAGGGTCCCTGCCTGGGTGGGGCCTCCCTGCCTGGAGTGGGACCTTTCCAAGTGCCCCTTGCCCTGGCCTCTTAGCAGCTGCTTCCTGCTTCTCCTTCACACCCTGGAGTCACTAACGTCCCAGGCCCTGCTGCCCAGCTGCCAGGCTTCCATAGGCCACAAAAACCCACCTTGAGGCAGCTCCTTTGGGAACCCCTCTCAGTTGCCCCACTCACCCATGCATGCAGTAGGCACTCAGTATGCCACCCACTTGTAGGCTGGGGCAGGGTCTGGTTGACAGTGACGTCACTGGGCCCCACGTGTTTGGTGGAGTGGGGTTCTCAGCCGCCTGCAGCCTTCAGACACTACCGGCTGCTCCTGTGGGGCTGAGCCAGGCCCCATGCTGGCTGGCTGGGCCTGGCCTTTCACCCCAGCTGGGCAACTCATTCCGACCCTGTGTCTTGGTGTCCACAGGCGGTCGCTGTGTACAATCTGACAGTGCAGGTGGCAGACATGTCTGGAGATGGCCTCACCGCCACTGCCTTGGCCATCATCTCTGTGGACGATATCAATGACAACGCCCCAGAGTTCACTAGGGACGAGGTGCCACCACTACCTCCCTGCACCAATTAGGGCCACACATACCCTTGGGCTCCTGGCAGGGTTGGGTGGTGCCCCGCTCTGGAAGGAGCTTTGCATGAGTAGCTATAAGCCCAGTTTAGAGGGTCCCAGAGCTGGCCTTGGGTGAGCCTGCCATGAAGTTGGGCTGGGAGAGGCAGGCGGGCCATGGAGAAGCCCCACCCACACTGTCTCTAACCCCATTGCTGATGCCCGGCTCCCCTAGTTCCTCATGGAGGCCCCAGAGGCTGTCAGTGGAGTGGTTGTGGGGCGGCTCGAGGTGGAAGATAGGGACCTGCCAGGCTCCCCCAACTGGGCGGCCCAGTTCATCATCTTGGGAGGTGACCCTGATGGGCAGTTTGCTATCCGCACAGACCCCAAGACCAACGAGGGAGTACTGTCCATGGTGAAGGTGAGTGCCTTTCAGCCAGCCCATTTGCCCATATGCTCCCCACCTCCACATCAGCTGTATCCTGAGCTCACTGGCTCTTTCCCGTGGGACGGTCTGTCCTGATCTGGTGTGAGAGGCTAGGAGGGTGGGAGCCCCAGCTCTAGGACTGGGCATGCTGGTCATAGGGCCACAGGGCTACAGAGCCAGAGTAGGAGGGACACCACATACAGTCTGCCAGTTACAACACCTGCCTCTTTGTAATGTGTGCATGAAAGCATGACTGCACACATGTGCAGCCTGGTGCCACCAGGAAGGCAGCTGGTGAGGCACACACAGACACATGCAGATGCACATGGATATTGACATATCAAGAGATTTACTGCAAGAAATTGGTTCATGCAATTGTGGGCTCTGGGCAAGCAGGTCTGAGATCCATAGAGTAGGCTGGAAACCCAGGCAGGACGCATGCAGTCCTGGGCAGAATTTCTTCCTTTCCTCAGAGAAACCGCAGTTTTGTTTCTAAGCCTTCACTTAAGTGCATGAAGCCCCACACATATTATCTGGAATGATCTCCTTTATTCAAAATCTGTTGGCTGGGCGGTGCCTATAGCTCAGTGGGTAGGGCACCGGCCATATACACCAAGGCTAGTAGGTTCCAACCTGGCCCAGGCCAGCTAAACGACTACACCTGCAACAAAAAATTAGCCAGGTGTGTGGCACCTATAGTCCCAGCTACTTGGGAGGCTGAGGCAAGAGAATCGCTTAAGCCCAAGAGTTTAAGGTTGCTGTGAGCTATGGCACCCTATCAAGGGTGATAGCTTAAGACTCTGTCTCAAAATAAATAAATAAATAAAAATAAAAACAGGCTCGGCGCCTGTAGCTCAGCGACTAGGATGCCAGCCACATAGACCGGAGCTGGCGAGTTTGAATCCAGCCTGGGCCTGCCAAACAATGAAAACTACAACCAAAAAATGCCGGGCATTGTGGTGGGCTGTAGTCCCAGCTACTTGGGAGCTGAGGCAAGAGAATTGCTCAAGCCCAAGAGTTGGAGGTTGCTGGGAGCTGTAATGCCATGGCACTCTGCCAAGGGCAGCATAGTAAGACTCTGTCTCAAAAAAAAAAAAAAAATCTGCTGGCTACCCTCCCCAATACCTTCTGAGCAACACCAGGATGGCTTCTATCCAGCCCATGGGGCTACCCCTGATTACAGACACATTCCACCCCCCCCCAAATCTATTTTGAGTGATGGGTACTTGTTATTTGTGTGTTTTTATTCTGCATAATTATTTTTATTAAGATTAAAAGGCAGAGATGGGCTGTGCTTGGTGGCTCCCACCTGTAATCCCACCGGTCTGAGAGGCTGAGGCAGGAGTTTGAGGTTGCAGTGAGCTGGGCTGGTGCCACACCACTGTAGGAAAGGAGAGCACTCAGGACAGGCCTGAGGAGTGGCTCCCCAGGAGCCACTCTGGGAGACCAGCCCTGAGCCTCAGGTGACCACACCTCCTTCCTGCAGCCCCTGGACTACGAGACCCAAGAGCTCTACCAGCTCATGGTATTGGTGCAGAATGTGGCCCCACTGCAGGTGGCTGCCCCCAGGGCCAAGAGGGGCCAGGCACGGGTCAACATACACGTGCGGGACATCAACGAGGCCCCCGTGTTCCGAGAGAACCCACTTCGGACTAGCCTGGCTGAGGGCGCACCCCCAGGAACCTCCGTGGCCACCTTCTCTGCCCAGGACCCTGACACACAGCAGCTGCAGAGGGTCAGGTGGGCATCCAGGGGCCCAGGTGTGGCAGAGGGCAGCTGATGGTCCCACGCCTACTGGGGTCACCCCTGGCTCCTGGGCGCTTAGGGTCAGAGTGGAGGGGAGCTTGTCTCTTGTGTTTTCCTGTGGATCCACAGATCTCAGGGTACCCATACCTACATGTTGGGGTGGCCTTGCCCCTAGGGTGGGTTGGAGCAGCCAGGCACACTGAGATGCCCAGTCTGTTCCTGCCAGCCTCTGAGTATCCAGCCATGTCCCTCAGGCCTTTGGCCCTGAGGCTGGCTATTAAGGTCCCAGTTTTGCCATGCATCTGGCCCTTTGTCTGTCACCCAGCTACCACGGGGCCCCAGCAGCTCACCTACCCTCCCTGAGGCTCAGTTTCCTCATCTGTCAGTTGTGATGGGGAAGACTTGCCTCAAAGATTCACAGAAGGTGCCAGTGACTGCGGCTCCCGTCAGAGCCACAAGGGTTGTGTGCAGATGTGAGATGCACGTGCAGTGTGTGTGCAGCTGTGCCTGTGAGGCCACACTTCTGGGGGTCCCACCCCTCTCCCCTCATCAGCTACTCCAAGGACTATGACCCTGAGGACTGGCTGCAAGTGGATGGAGCCACCGGCCATATCCAGACCCAGCGGGTGCTCAGCCCCGCCTCACCCTTCCTCAAGGACGGATGGTACAGAGCCATCATCCTGGCCCTTGACGATGGTGAGCAGCCAGCCCAGCCTTGGCTTCTGGGCTCTCTCCAGTTGGAGCCCCAGGGCCCTCACCCTCTGAGCAGACTGGCAGGGTGGGCCTGGGCAGGGACACTGAATCTACCAACCCCTCTGCCCATAGCCTCCCCACCCTGCACAGCCACTGGCACCCTGTCCGTGGAGATCCTGGAGGTGAACGACCATGCCCCTGTGTTGGCACCACCACTTCTTGACAGCCTGTGCAGTGAGCCCCACCAGGGCACCGGCCTCCTCCTGGGTGCTACAGATGAGGACCTGCCCCCCCACGGGGCCCCTTTCCACTTCCAGCTGAGCCCCAGGCTCCCAGAGCTCAGCCGGAACTGGAGCCTCAGCCCTGTCAACGGTGGGCTCCCTCCCCCACCCTACTGGGCTGGCCAGAGACCTGTGGGCGGCGGCTCCCTCTGTGTGCCGGTGGCTGCACCCTGGGCGGGGCAGGGCTTATTGCGCCCAGTGGATGGATGGGGAAACTGAGACCAGGGATTTCGTGATCCCACCCCATCTAGGTGAGGTGGGGGCCCAGCCTGGGGAGACCCTAACTGACCTCAGGTGTCCTTAACAGTGAGCCACGCACGCCTGAGGCTGCGGCACCAGGTCCCCGAGGGCCTGCACCACCTCAGTATTCTGCTGCGGGACTCAGGGCAGCCGCCCCAGCATCGTGAGCAGCCGCTGAACGTGACCGTGTGTCGCTGTAGCCAGGATGGCGCCTGCCTGCCAGGGGCTGCCGCACTGCGGGCAGGGGGCGCAGGCATCAGCCTGGGTGTCCTGGCCATCATGCTGGGCAGTGTCCTCCTGCTGCTGTGTGAGTGCTCCGTACCCTTGGCCCCACCCTCAGACCCTATCTCACACCCAGCTCTTCCCCTGCCCACATCCTCTGACTCTACAGACCCCCACCCTGGACTCCATGCCCTCAGCTCCCTACCACAGGCCCTGAGACCATCCCCTACCCTACAGCCCCGCCAACCCCCTCTGGAGGCCCTGCCAGGCCCCAGCCTCCCTCCTGTGTCCCCAGTGCTGGTCTTGCCGGTGGCGCTCCGAGTGAGGCTCCGGCAGCGGACTCAGGGCAAGGGGGTGCTGCCCGGGCTGCAAGATGACCTTCGAGACAACATCCTCAACTATGATGAGCAGGGAGGGGGAGAGGAGGACCAGGTGGGTAAGGGGTGTGCTGGCAGAGGGGCTCACTAAGGAGCCCAGGCCACCTGGGCAAGCTGGCGGGGAGCCCCTCCCCTCTTTCCCAGCGACCCAGGGCTCAGCTCCATTTAACCTGCCCAGGATGCCTACGACATAAGCCAGCTGCGCCACCCCGCAGAGCTGACTGCCCAGAGCACCCTGGGACGGCCACTACTGCGCCGTGACACCCCCCACAGCCGAATGCCCCCCCAGCCACCCCGAGCAATGCCTACCAGTCCTGCCAACATCAAGGACTTCATCAATGAGGTAGGTGCTATAGTGGACACAGGTGTACACACACGTAAGCATAGACACGTGGTACACCCAGGGCGCACACGCACACGCTGAGCCTTTCTGCAGGCTTTCTGTGTCTTGGGTCAGGTTGGGGTGCTGGCCTCAGAGCTGCAGGAATCTGACATGAGTTTGCCAGAGGGACCCCGGAGGACATACAGGGTCCTCTGGGCTTGGGGGGCATGGACTGAAACAGCTCTGCACTAGCTGGGGTGGGCTTTGGGGGGCACCTGGGAGCAAACTCAGAAGCAGTCTCTGCACACCCATCCCCACAGGGGCCACTGGGGTGTTCCCAGGGCTTGTCAGCTCTGCAATAACAGGTGGGAAATCTGTGGTGGGGGCACCTGGGGAGAGACACATCCATCACCACTCACTGGATCTGCCTGCACTCCGCTAGGGAAGGCCCCCTGCAAACTCACGCCCCAGGAGAGGCAGACAGATCATGGATAGGAGTCTGTGTCCCTACACTAGAGGGTGATGGAGGCAGACTCCAGACCCCTGAAAGGCAGACCTACTGGTCCTGTGGAGGAGACAGAGTCCCCAGGGGAAGGGCTGGCAGCTATCCTAACACCAGGAGCCCTCGAGGCCTCTGCTCAGACCTACCCTCCTGTACCTGTGTCTTAGGCTGACCTGGCCTGGTGTATGGCCAGGTGAAGAGGCTGCCCGCAGGGCTCCTAAGGTCTCTGGGACCTCTTTTCAGGGTTTGGAGGCTGCGGACAGTGACCCCAGTGTGCCGCCCTATGACACAGCTCTCATCTACGACTTCGAGGGTGAAGGTTCTGTGGCTGGGACACTGAGCTCCATCCTTTCCAGCCTGGGTGACCAGGACCAGGATTATGACTACCTCAGGGACTGGGGTCCCCGCTTTGCCCGGCTGGCAGACATGTACGGGCACCCATGGGGGTCCGAGTGAGGGGCTAGACTTGGCATCTAGATGTGTCCACTGGGCCAAGGATGGGGTCTTTCTCCTGGGGGCACCTCACCCAGATGTGGAGTGGACCATCTGACCATGGGGGCCCATCTGGACACGCCCCCCTGGGCCAGGTGGTGGAGATGGCTCTATAATGCAGCTTGAGGGCACTTGGCCCCTATCCCTGGGCCTGGGGGACCTCCTCCTTCAGGAAGGGCTTGAGTCCAGGGCACAGGACTCAGGACGTGAAGGGAGCAGCAGGGGGACCCACCCTTCTGCTGGCATAGGGACAGCTTCCCTGGGTCTCCCCCTGGGCCCACATACCCCTACTCCCACCTTTGCCTCCTAAGAAAGGACCTCCTTTTTGTACAAAGAAAACAGCCCCCTAGTAAATCCGAAGGAAAGATGTTTGTCTCCCAGTGTGGGCCTGCACCGAGCACCATGCTGACCCAGGGCTGAGGTTCCCCCATCCCAGCCCTTTGGTTGGAGCAGTGGAGGCCTTGGTCTAGTGACCTCACCACCTGAGGCCCCCTCCAGCCCCAGCCTGAGGGAAGAACCAGGGAGGACTTTATCATCTACATCTGATGGCTGTGGCCAAGGAGGAGGCACAGGGACTCTGCAGCTGGCCCAGGGACAGGCTTTGTTGCTGCCCCACAGCTCCATCTGTGTTGACACGTGGCTTCTGGGGGATGGGTCTGTCCAGTTGTGGTCACCCATGGACCAGGTGCTGGGGTCCTCTGCTGTGCCTTACAGCTCCCCCCATTCCTCCCTAAAGAAATGGCAGAGGGCAGTGCTCCTCCCTGCACTTGGGGGCAGTGGGAACATCACTGTGGCTCTGCATGGCTGTGTGCCCAGCATGGATGGAGGGATAGGGAAGCCACGTACTTGCTCCACATGGTGGCTGCTGGCCCAGCTCCTGCCATGCTCCCCCCAGAATAGTAGCGAGAGTCTGGTTATCATGGCACTCAACCTGCAGGAGGAGCCAGTTCTCCGCATGTACAGCCTGGCCAGGCAGCAGCAGGGTGCCGGCCACCAAGAAGAGGCCAGCCCCCATGGAGAAGGCCAGGCCATGCTGAGGGTTGCACAGTTCCATGTTGGGGTGGACATACATGGTTTGGGCTAAGGCCTCCCGGGAGGGCTGCTCTGTCAGGAGCCACAAGGACCAATTCCTGACCTGCCAGAGAGCTGAGAATGCCCAAGGCCCACACACTGGGCCCCCAGCATGAGGTCTGGCCTGCAGACAGCCCTGCTCACCCCAAACAGGGCACCCCGGCCTACTTGAGAAGGGCCTCAGCAAGGGAGCCTGAGAGCCTCCCCCACCCCCAGCAGTCCCCAGAAGCCTCAGGGGTGGCCTCTTCAGAGCTGCCCCCATATTACTCGTGAGCCACGTACGGGGTGAGCAAGGCCCCTGCCAAAGTCCCAATGTACATTTTGGGGTTCCACCATGCCAGAGACTTTATGCTCAAATCCCATCCCTCCTGAAAGCTGGTGGGGCACTAATTGCTCACTACACCACACAGAAGGGCTGGTGTCAGGTACAGAGGCAGGGGAAGGAGGGAGCCCAGCCGGTTTCAAGGCTTCAGGCAGGCCCTGGCAACCTTCCCCACAGGTGAGAGGCCCAGATTTCTCAAGCTGAACTGACTGCATTGCTCCCTGGTGCAAAGCCTCTTGCTTCAGGAACCCAGTCCACAGACCCAGCCCCAAGCCACAGGCTGCTCTCTCTCTCTCTCTCTTTTTTTCCTGGAGACAGTCTCATTTTGTCACCCTTGGTAGAGTGTGGTGGCATCACAGCTCACAGCAACCTCAGACCCTTGGGCTCAACTCATCCTCCTGTCTCAGCCTCTAGAGCAGCTGAGACTACAGGCATCCGCCACAATGCCAGGCTAGTTTTTCTATTTTTAGTTGAGACGGAGGTCTCACTCTTGGTAAGGCTGGTCTTCAACTCTTGAGCTCAAGCAATTCACCTGCCTGGGCCTCCCAGAGTGCTGGGATTACAGGGGTCAGCCACCGCGCCCAGCCTTACGGGTTGCTCTTGATTGAATTGCAGACCCTGCTCACCAACGCCCACCTGCCCTCACCTCCAGCCTGAGCTCTCCTCCTCCCAGTCTGCCCCGCCCCCTTGCCAGCCCAGGATGAAGATCACTGCACAGCAGGCGAGGGTCAGGGCCTTACACATCCGGAAAGCCCTCGGGTTTGGCACTCGCTGTACTTGCGCATCTGCTGTGCCACGCGAGGAAAGCGCTGCCCCATACATGGGCACGCAGCACGACAGCCCCAGGACACCTCGAGCGCTCTGCCCGCCCGCACGCCCAGTGTCCATCCCAGACCCCCAGTCGGCCGGGAGGGCGGAGCACTGGGTGCCTGGGCTCCGTAGCAGGTCCGTGGTGGGCAGGTCGTAGAGCCAGCGGCGTGTGCAAGGCCGGTTCCGTTGGGCGAGTGCCGGGCGCCGGCTCAGGGTAGCGCAGGACCAGGCTAGGGCACGGGGCGTGCGGGGCCCCGGGCGCGGCAGACTGGCGCAGAGCAGCGCAGAGGGTGGGGGACCGCGCGATGACCAGCCGCTCGGAACTCAGCGTTAGCCCCAGCGCCACCCCGGCGTCGGCCAGGCCGACGCCTCCGTTGCATCGGGCCCGCACCAAGAGCTGCATTGGTACCAGCAGCGCTCCGGGCGGGAGCCTGGGAGGGGTACGGGGCGGGGCCTGGGCGCACAGGTGCACGGGGAAGGCTGGTCCTGGAGCGCTCAGGTGGGCGGGAGGGGCGGGGCCTGAGCGCACAGTTGCACGGGGGTGGTGGTGAGGGCGGAGCCTGGGACGCTTGGGTGTACTGGGCACGCTTACGTGCGCGTGGGGCCCGGCTGTGTCCTCCATGGTCGGCTCTTGCAAGAGCTCCGGGGCCTGAGCGCGAGGCCTGGCGACCACGGGAGCCTGAGCTGCCCTGAGGCCTGGCCGGGGCCGCCCCACGTTAGGGCGCGCGGGGTGGTTGGGTCTGGGAGGCCCGGCGGTTTGCAGGGGTCTGAGGTTGGGCCTGACGACTGGGCAGGAGAGCCCGGCGCCTTCCTCTGGGTGTCAGAACTTTGCAGGTGACCATAGGGTTCTGCGAGGTGAACTTAAAAGTTCCCTCATCACGTTCTGGCTTTTCCCTCGTACATCAGTCAGGAAGAAACGACGCCTGTGACGCCGGCGGAGTCCTCCATCCTCCAGCTGGTAAGGTGGCGGGGCGTGTGTGGTTTGCTGGTTTGTTTTGAGACAGGGTCTCGCTTTGTCACATGGGTTGAAGTACAGTGATGTCATTGTAGATCCCTGCAGCCTCAGATTCCTGTGTTCAAGCGATCCTCCTGCTTCAGCCTTCAGAGTAGCTGGGACTACAGGTGCCCGCTTCCAGGCCAGGCTAATTTTAAAATATTTTGTAGAGACGGGGTCTCATTCTTTTTCAGGCAGGTCTTAAACTCCTGGCCTCAGGGGATTCTCCCTTCTCAGTCTCCCAAAGTGCTGGGATCACAGGCATGAGCCACTTTGCTGGGCCAAGGTCACATTTATTCTCCACTGTTTTGCTTTTATTTATTTTTTTTTTGCAAGAGGAAAATTATAAGCTATGTATATACAGGGAAACCAAGCAGAGAATTGATATTTAGTAAGTAAAAAAATACAAATAATGTATTCTTTCCATTAAAAAAATGAAAATTGTACTAGATGCTATGCAGTACTCATAAAGTTTCCTAACTACTAGTTGGTTTTCTTTTGCTTTGTGAATGGTCTCTATTTGCATTAAAATTCCTAATAATGTTTTCCATTTAAGAACATCATTAGGCTCGGTGCCTGTGGCTCAAGTGGCTAAGGCGCCAGCCTCATACACCGGAGCTGGCAGGTTCGAATCCAGCCCAGGCGCACCAAACAATAATGACAGCTGCAACCAAAAAACAGCCAGGCGTTGTGGCAGGTGCCTGTAATCCCAGCTACTTGGGAAGAGAAGGCGGGAGAATCGCTTGAGCACAGGAGTTGGAGGTTGCTATGAGCTGTAATGCCACAGCACTCTACACAGGGTGACAGCTTGAGGCTCTGTCTCAAAAACAAACAAACAGTATTAGCTCCTTTAAAAATGTTATTGATTTGGGCTTGGTGCCAGCCACATACACTGAGGCCAGAGGGTGCAAACCCAGCCCAGGCCAGCTAAACAATGACAACTGCAACAACAACAAAAATAGCCGGGCATTGAGGCAGGCACCTGTAGTCCCAGTTACTTGGGAGGCTGAGGCAAGAGAATCACTTAAGCCCAAGAGTTTGAGGTTACTGTGAGCTGTGTCACATTGTACCTAGGGTAACATAGTGATACTCTGTCTCAAAAAAAAAGAAGTTACTGATGTGAAAGTCACATAACACTAAACATTTTATGTTGTACAGCTGAGGACATTCACAATGTATGCTACCAACATAGCATTGCATGGTACCAAACTATCCATCAAATGGAAGGAAGTAGAGGAAAGAAAAAAAAAAAGTTCTGAAATAGCTCCCTCACCAGAGAAGAACGCCATACACATAAAGCAGTTACTCTGTGTTCACTCCCTGCAGCCCTGGGCAACAGTAATCTGCTTTCTGTCTCTATGGGTTGGCCTATTCTGGACATTTCATTAAGTGGAATTGTAAACCACGGTGGCCTTCTGTGTCTGCCTTCCTTTACTTCCTTTCGTGTTGTCAGGGTTTTATCCGAGTTGCAGCAGGTAGCAGTACTACCCTCCTTTTTATGAATGATTGATATTCCATTATATGGACAGACCACATTTGTTTATCTGCTCTTTTACCCAAGGACACTTGTGTTGTTTCCACTCTTAGCTGTTTGTCACTGGTGCTTCGATGGACATGTTCGTGAGAGCATTCGCCTGGGTACCTGTTTTCAGTTCTTTTGGGCACATACCTAAGCGTAAAATTGTTGGGTCATGTGGTGATTCTGTGTTGAAATCTCTGAGAAACGATTTGCTTCTTTCTTTTCTTTTAGAGTAATTTTGGATTTAAATTTAGAATTTTAAAATGATGCCAAAATATGTATTGCATGAAATTTATCATTTAATCATTTTTAAGCAAAAAATTCAGTGGCATTAAATACATTCACAGTGTTGTGTACCCATCCCCATTGTCTATTTTTTTTTGGGGGGGGAGGCCAAGGCTGGGTTTGAACCCGCCACCTTTGGCATATGGGGCCGATGCCCTACTCCTTTGAGCCACAGGCGCCGCCCATCCCCATTGTCTTTTTCCAAATTGTTCATCATTCCAAACAGAGATTCTCTATCCATTAAGCAATAATTCCCCACTCCACACTGTCCCTCTCACACTCACACACACACACCCGCCAGTAACCTCTAATCTACTTTCCGTCTATGAATGCCTAGGAACCTCCTAAAAGTGGAATCTTACTGACCAGGAGATTCCCTGGGAGGCTGTGTCACCTTGTCACATAAATCCCCTCTGATACCCTTCTTCCCTGGGACCTGTCTTCGCCTCCTACACCTTTTCTTAGCAGTGGGCCCCAATTCCAGCCTGTAGATGTCCCCACCCTGCGGGACTCGCCCCCAACCCCAACCTGTCACAGGTCACCTAAATGAAGCTTGGGCTCTACTGCCACCTTGTGCTCACATCTTTTTTCTGAATCAGCCGCGAAATCACTTTAACCCCGTATATCTGTGTATACTGTTTTGTTTCAGTTTGCCCCCCGCATTTTGATCTCTGTGCCATCTGGAGTTTATTCTTGTATATGGAGTGAGGTCTAGATTTAATTTCATAATTTCCCAATGGCTAACCAGTTGTCTTAGCACTGCTCATTATAAACTGCACATTTGCTCCACTGATATGAAACACCACATTTAGGAACGAAATTCCCACAGGTTCCTGGGCTCCCTGTCCGCTCCCTGCCTCTCTGTAACCAAAGGGCTTCTGGCACTCGCGGGTCCGCAGCTGGCCGAGACTTCCCGGTCACCTGTAAGCTGCTCTTCCGCAGGGTCCTCGGCACCCGTGTCTGACCACGCAACTTTCATCATTTTTACTGCACTGTGCCACATTTCTGACTAGCTGGGGAAAATGCCCGGTGTCAGTGCCACTTGGGAGAGTGCCATAGGGATCCTGGAGCGTGTAAGATTGCAAAAATAACAGAAACACATTAGAAAAAAAGGGATGGAGATTTACACAAGTCGTTATACTAAAAATGCAAAGGAATCGCTGTTAGACTAAGGCCGGCTTCGGGCACTGCCAAGGGGTACGACGGGGAGCCCCGCATGTAATACGCGGCCAGCGGCTCCCACCGCCAGCTCCGCCACGGTTGCCTGGGGCACCTCCCTCCCAGACCTCCCAGACCGGGGCTGGAAGTGGAAGTGACGTCAGTTCGTTGCAGGGTCCGCTGTCCTACAGCCAAACGCTTCCCGGAGGCTCTCGGGGGCCGGGGGGCGGGGTTCCGCGGCGGGGCCGGTGCGAGGTCGGTCCGCTCTGCGCCTGACCGCCTCCGGGCTGCGGCCCCGAGCCATTCCGGAAGGACGAGTCGCCGCAGGGGTGAGTGGAGGCCGGGAGGACCCCAACTTCCTTCTGCCGGAGATTTCCGCGGATGATTCGGCCTCCTCTTCTGCGGCGTTGTGGTTCATTTTGGACCCTGTATTCGGGTAGGAGCGCACCCGGTCGCAGGTGGCTGGGAGGGCCCGTGCGCGGGAGCGCGGACAAGCCTGTGGACGCAGGACTTCGCCTGGCTTCTACGAGAGGCTGTTCTAATGCTTTTCTTTAGAAAAATCCGAGTCCGATGAAAATATATAGTTGACAGTAGATTAACTTATTTTTAGGTTGTGCGTGTTTCCCTATCCAAGATAAACCTTTTGAGTT